CCCCCCCTCCCCGCTTTGTGTAATCCTGTTTAGTCTTGTAAATGATCCTACGACAATGCTTTTGGACTTGTTTTTATTGGCTTTTTTTCTAAATTAGCTGTTTCTCACCTGTCACCGACATAGCCATTTAGAAAGAGACCCTGAAACAAAAACAAACAAAAAAGACATGTGAATGTCATAGATCGTCATAATCAGGTAAGAAGTCCTTTTTTAAAACAAAGATTAGATTGTATATGAAGGGGGGGTCAGAAACAATACAGACATAGAAAAAGGAGAATTATGTGTCCAAATTATTTTTCCTACTTTCACATACATTTACTTGAAAATGTATCTAAATGGAATATTTAAAAAACAAAATCACTAAAAAGAACAAGAAATACACAGCATTTACCTGATTCTGTGTCAGTGTAGTGAGTATTTTGCATAGTGAAAGATAACATAAATTTCATTCTGGCTATTCAGGAAGATCCATGAGATTAATTCTGGCAGATACGAGTTAAGACATAGTAGTGTAGCAAAGACTTAATTACAATACAGAACAGCATAAAAGCTAGCCAGTACTCTTTCATGTATTCTAAACCTTCTAATCGGTATTCAGGCAGTGTTAAGATGTAAAGATAGCAGAAAATCCAGAGAATATCCAAGTGCTTCTGCTAACAAACCTGAATGTAACTGTTTTGAACCTCAAACTGTTCTTTTTTCTGTTATAGCAATAAAAGTTTTACGGCATTTGCTATACAAGAAGGTCATTTTTTAAGCGCCAGAGGTCAGAGGTATTACAAGAGAGAAATAAACACAAAAAAGAAGGAGAGATAAGGATGGCAGATGTCTGATAGGAAAAAATGAGCAAACTATACTAGAGCACCCACCAACCACCCACTAATTTTCTGCTAGACGATTCAAATAAATTAAACACAGAGAAGATAACTCAAAGGTTTCATTACCACAGCATAGGCCAACATAAAAACTGTATCCAAAATTCCTTGGTACTGTTCTGCACTGTCTTCCGAATTAAAGAGGTGGTGGGCGTTCCACAGCTGAGAAAAAAACAAAGATAAATTGGATAAAGGATATGACTCAAAATATTGAGTCTGAGGGTGTCCAAGGGGGATAGGCAAGAACAGGAATGCACAGGTTCTGTGTACACAAGCCTAGATTTTACTGTATGATTGCAGGCTTTTGACAAGCAAGCGAAAATGCTTGAGGATGCATACGATTATCTGACAGGGTGTGAGCATTCATTTATGTGTAGGTCTCTGTGCGTGTTTGTCTGTGCATGAGTGCATGGTCATGTGTGTTTGTGCGTGTTTGTCTGTGCATGAGTGCATGGTCATGTGTGTTTGTGCGTATGTTCATGTCAATGAATGCAGCTTGGATGAGTGTGTCTGAGAGTGTATCTGCCAGCTTCTGAGTTCAAGTATAAAAGTACTTTTTTGAAAGACTTTAACACCAAATCAATTAAATGTAAAGAATAAGTCTATATTAAAACCCACTTGCCAGAAGTAAGGAGCAGAAAATACTTGAACTTGCACTTAAAAATCAGAGCAAATTTTCATAGATTATTGTATTAGGATTTTTTTTTTTTTAACCCCCTAAAAAAAACTCTCACATAGTCAGGCTTGAGTTCTGGTTCTGAGGCATTGTGAAATGAAGGCGTCCACACTCTGCCTGTTGATGTTTTTACATTGCTGAATGCTTTCCTGTTAGCATGAAAAAAGGCGTAACTGAAAGAGAAAAATAAAGAGGTTAAATGAACATTCAATAAATTAATCTTTTAACCCATTTAAATGTTTTCCAGAGGGGATGAAAATTTCAGTTGGTTAAGTTTTTTGGATTGCAACTACAATACAAACATAGAAAACAAAATTCAAATTTTCAACGATTAAATGTTATTTAGAACCAGAAAATAGTTCCTTACTTAAATTGTAGTTGGTAAAGAAAACTGATAGACAAGCCACTACAATTCTGACATATAAGAAAAAAATGGACCTACCATGAAATTTGAAAAGAAAAAAAACAAAGTTAAGATAATATCATGCTGAGTGAAAGAGTCGAGTGAGAACAAAAAATTATACTAACTACAATTGACACCATTTAACTTGTATTTCCATCACGAAACTCCTAAAAACTTACCTGAAGAAAGTCAAAATGAACACAGAGACTTTATGAGAATCTCTCCTGGTAAACTTATATGCCATCTTGTTCTGTTCTCTGAAAAACAGGCATAAAATAAAAAGAACTTGAAAAACAGGATCCCCTGCATAGAAAACATACACCTGAATGAAAATCTATATCAAAAGAAACAATGAAAAGTGTTTTTAAGGGGTGACACTCCACAAAACCAGCCAAGCTCTATGACAAAACTTTAAACTTAAAGGGCAAAGAGCATGCTGTAGAGCGCGGAAACGCACTACAGATATGCAATTATTATTATCATCATCATTGAAAATTCAGTATCCAGGCTTTAGGCAAAAGAAAATAAATCATGCAGTACAAGACAATGCAGACTTTAAAAGTAGTACACTATCTGAGGCAGTGTAGTAAGCACTATTCAATTACAACAGATGTGAGGGTTTGAACTACAATTGTCTACAATCAAGGTCCCATGATGATGCACATGTTGCTAATTAAGGCAATTAAGGAGGTACCTGCGACAAGAGTTTTCCAAGTCACAGTATTGAGACCATTTTTTTTTTAAAACCTAAATATTAATTACAAGGATGTCAGAAAGCTTTATTACTACTAACAATTTACAGTAGCTTTTTCAATTCAAAACCAGCTTTGTTCAGTCTTTCACCAGGTGTAGAAAAGACCCAGAGTTGAGGTTATTTATCTTTTTCTTAAAAAATAAAAAGTAACAAGGCACACTATGAAAGATACACTCAAAGTCCAAAGCACATTTTGAAAGATATGTTAGGCATGGGGGGGGGGTATCAAATACTTTATAACCGGATAGTCATAATTCTCATCCTTTCGTGGCTATGCATCGCGACAAACTCAGGCTATGGATATCATATAACCGCCAAAGGACACAGAGATACTTGAGAAAATGTCTTCATATATATGAGAATTAAACTCACATCCTTCGTGCCAAAGGCAAACAGCCTTATCATTATACATAAACACCAGTCAAGTATACACATACACTTCAACTGTCAGAAAAAGTTCCTGCTTTACTTTCAACATTCTTTCAGTTGTACTTTTGAGTCAGGGGTGTTAAAGTATTTTGTTATAGGATTCAACCAAATCCTGTCTTCCCAGTGTGAACACAATGTAATTTCCCTGAGTCAATCCATTATGAAATAAGTCAATAAAAGAAAAGGAAAACATACATGGTGAAAAGGGCAATCACTTTCATAATTCAACAAACACAAACATATGTACACGACATTCTGGGCTAATAATATTGTTTACAATAACATTAGTTCAGATGGCATCAATCTGGACTACAGAATGGATGGATGACCCTGGTTTGAACCCCAAAGAGAACATTTTGAAATTGGATTGTTCCTATTGAAGGGGCTGGAAAAATACTTAAACAACTGGACATTGGCGGCTTTATCTTCCTAGTACCAAACAGGAACTTGCCAAAATTCAAGTCAACAGCTTTTTCACAGCACTTAGGTAGGTATTGCCATTCTAGCATCAAGCATCACAATTAATTAACTGAAAAATTATGATAAATTTAAGATTTCAACTATAAATTTACCAGCTAGCAGAACACAGAAGTCAAATACTTTCTCGCATTATCCCAAAAACAGGAAACCTCTATTTCAGTCCCTTGAAAAACATGGTAAAGTTAGAAAACCATAGAGGACTTCCAAGCCTAAAACTATTATTCCCTGCAGTAACAAACTCATTCTACTGGTACTCAACATTCTATTGGTACTCGATGAATAATTTTCTAGCAACAAGAGATAGATACAAAGAACAGCTGTCGTCCCTACATTATTCACACAATGACAGAATTTGTAATGAAATGTGTGCAGTGGATAAAATGAATGTTTGATTAACCTTTTCCTTTTCACACAAGATCAGTATCCTCCCATTACCAAACCACAATTCAGTTGTAGTGTACACTGTAGCGTACACTGTACACTACAGTATAGTCTGAGCCACTGAAACCAGTGTTCCATATCAAGACATCACCCTACCAGCTTTCTAACTCTTACTCCCAAGCATGAATCCTAGCAAGCATATTATTCATTTCACATGATAAAGACAGGTAGATCACCCATTCTGAAAGGACTTAGCAGGAAAATTATTCCCATCATAAATAATGCAAATTTTATGAAGCAGTAAGAGTATCTGGACTGAAAAATCTGTTGTATGACACATTCATATACACACGGAGTAAGCATTCAATGCAGTTATTTCACTCTTGTCAAGTCCAGAGAATAGCCTCTGAATGACAAAGTCAAAACGAACAAACTATGCATGTGCAGACAATCATTCACTAACAGCACAGTTCTATACATAGATATTATATGGCACTAAAGCCAATTGCTCTATGAGAGTTGTTGTTTTTGTTCAGGCTTGAATTTTACATTATCAGTCTTTTATATGAATGTGTTATGATGCTGTGGAATCAGGCGCTCGTCAATTTTGAGACATATGGTGTTATTGGTACCATCTAAAGCCTGTCCATTTGCCTTCCTTTTAATGAAAAAAATATATATTTATCTTGGATATAAGTCAAGACAGTAGCAATTGAGGGTGGTGGGGGTCGCCTGGTTTCAGAGATAAAATTAACGAGAAAATGGCCGCCAAAGTTGGTTATTTCCTTAGCTTGAGAATCCATGGAAACTGAAAATTTACATCTTTTATGCCTTTAATCAACATTTTTCAGTAAAATCAACACCAAAATGTGTTCTACAATGGGCATCAAGGGTGTTGAGCCAAAAAAACAAATTCGATAAAAATGTCCTAACTGGAGAAAAAATGCGTTTCTCCGCTTATATTATTTTGACGAGCGCCAGATCCCACCACGTCGTTTCACATATATATAAAGGAGGGCTATTAAAATAATAATGATTATTATAACAGGTGCCACTGCAGACTCTGCGCTGTTGTTTGACATCTTGCAGAGGGCAGGTGACGGTTTGTTATGAGTGTTAGAGCAGCAGAGGAGATGGAATGCGACAGTGGTGGATATTTGAAGACAGGGCCAGAGGTGCATGTAGTGGTGATGAGGCGATTGGTATTGATGTAATGCCTGAGGTGGTAGGCGTCAGATATATATATATATATATATATATATATATCTATTTTAGGTGATTTAGTGGTTACTATGAAAGAGCTGAAATTGTTGGCCGGAGATGTTTGGTGGCTGATATGGTGGTGGGCTGTACACATTGTTGCGAGTAGTTAACAGAGAGAAAATATGTACATGAACTCATACTGCATGCCTTGCTCACACAAGCAAAGAAAGGAAGATGTGTTACAGGACAGGAACGAAAGAGCTGGGTGTAGGAGAGAGAAAGCAGAAAAAATTATCTCGCTCTCTTCCATTACTTGGGGAGTCCAGTTGCATTTTTAGTTTAGAACTGCAAATTCTCATATATATCTTCATGAACATGATATACAGAATTTTAAAAAAAAATTTTCAGATGACATGATTGTCAAATAAAATCTTATTTATAATTAACAACTAAAAAAAAGCCAACTTATTTGATTGAAGCATCATACTCCACCACTGGCAATGTTTAACTATGCAGGGAACTGTCGAAACATAACTTTAAGAAAATACATAATAAACTAAAATTCAGGAACTTCTGTGTCATGATGATGATAAGCTCACTATTGACATTATCAAGGCTTTTTCTTTTTTTGGGGTTTTGGGGAGTTTGGGGTTTGTTGTTTGTTATTGGGGTTTTTTTTGGGGGGTGTCTCATGTTTTTTATTTTCCTTTTCAAACAACAGCACTAATTAGAAGAGCTTAGAAGATGCAGCTCTTTTTATCTCTTAACAGTTCTTTCCTTTAAAAATCTAACAAAATAGTTTGATGGTTTTGGAAGGCTATAAATCTCATATTTTTGTCTAATTTATCCATGTTGGTGCTTCTACACAGAGTGCAGACTTGATTCTGGAGAATTACCCAAAAAAAAATTTGGGGAAAAATTATTTTTTTCATACTTAAATGGGTGTTGCGTTTTACCTAAATCATTCTCATCTGTCCACCATCTTGAATTACTTTCTTTTACAAAGATCAAAGCAAGAACAAAAGAATTCACCTATATAGGCTATATTTATGGACCCAGAGGACAGATAAATGTATGCAGCTGGAATATTCTACACTTCTAGTTATTTTAGGTAAAGTACCGCAGTCATAGGAGCCTTTACAAATTTAGAATAATTTTTTATGCAATGGGACTATTCGTTTGAATTTCAAATTTGAACAAGTAGGTCCTGTTACTAAACCGGCTGTCATCTCCACTAATTGGTCTGAAATTACTTAAATTTTTGGTATATTTTGTAGAATTGAATATTCCTTTGATATAAACTAGAAATGGAATCAATTTCGTTCAAAACAAATGTTTTTTATTCTTTCCCTATGTAAAGATGAGAAAAAAAAGTTTTTTTCTTTCTATTTTTAGATACTAAATAAGTAGGTCACATATGTAAATAAAAAATCATACAAACATAATTATTGTATCAAATCAAATCCATCCAATAACCTTTCCAATGAAATACAACACTTATTGAAAGTTATTGTGTTGACCTACACAGAAATTTATAGGATTTTTTAATTCTATGTCCACCTTCTTTACCTTAAAAAACTGGCCAAAACCAAAGAACTATTGAGAGTTAAGTTCTCGTGACCCCTTGTCTCTTCTTTCTTTGTCATGCATAGTGCTCACAACATAACTTTTTACTTTTTTCTCTTCTGTTGCCGTTAAAAAGCTTCGAGGGGCACACAATATCAAATGTGTCACAATACGGTGGAACCAGGCACTCGTCAAATTTTGGGCATACAGAGTCATTAGTCATGTATGTTAAAGCTTTTTTTTTTTTTTTTTTGCTTTTAATGTAAAGAGTACCCTTCTACCTTGAATAGAAGTTGAGATATTTGCGCCTGAAGGAGAAGAGGGATGCCTGGTATCAGAAGTAAAATTAGCGGAAAAATGGCTGCCAAACTTTGGCGACTACTAATGCATGAAAAGTCCTTGGACACTGTAAATTTACAGCTTTTAAGTCTTTGGATCAACGTTTTTATTTAACAGTAAAAAACACACAAATAAATGTGTTTTTAAAAATAGACATAAAAGGTGTTGAACCATAAAAGAAATTTGAAAAAAACAAACAATCCCACAGACAGAAAAATGCAGATTTGTTTGAATTCACTATTTTGATGAGTGCCTGATTTCATCACGCTGCCCCACATTCACAAATAATAGTGTTAATATGGCAATTCTACTTAACTGTTAAACTCTGGCGACAGGGCTGTCATCCTGACAAACTGAAAACTGCCTACTAACCAGCCTCAGAATTTCCTGACTACACTACAGCCGAACCTGCCTATAGACCTAGGTAGAAGCCACTTGTCCCAGCTCAAGTCCAAAATAATAATCCCAGTACAACAATCACTTCCTGTTTCCTTCCCCCCCCCCCCCCCTATTCTAAAATAGTCACAATCAATTAAGTGGTCAAAACTTCACACCTTTCATCTGCTATCCTCTCTGATAATGACATGCATCAGTCTCACTTATCCAACCACCAGTGCTTGCAATTCATAGGATCACTGTTTGACCAATTAAAAACAAACGTTTGAAAACCTCCTTTGCTTCCATCCTTAGCCCCACCCATCGGTGTAATGACGGCGCACCGGCAATGGAATTTTAGTTGCCGCGGGGGTTCCCCGCCGGGCGCCTTATCACGTTGGGGTCATGGGGGCCAGCTCCCTGTCGCCGCTCTGTCTGGGCCGACTTAATTTTTGGTACTTTTCAACGTACAATTTTAGGTGTATCCTTGTATTTATGGTCATTTTCATTTAGTGCACCCAAAGCACACATTTCTGCTCTTGAGATTAAAAAAAGAACGGACGTTGTAACTTGTCTGGTTATTTCGTTAGACGCGCTGGAGTCTGCAATGCTAAATTGTAATTTTTTGGGGACTAGCGTGAATTTTAAAAAATCAATATATAAAAAAAGGCCCCGTCAAAATCTCTGTCAAACTTTTGTAACATGAACGACACAACATTGGTGCAGATACTCAGAAAAGAAGGTATCTGCGCATATATAATAGAAGGCTGTAATTTTGCAATTTTATTCATCTACAACTTTATGTGTCTAATATAATCATGAATATTCGCATATTTTCTCGAAAGTTTACAAAAGTTAGGATGAAGTTCCCCTATGAAAAGTACTAATCGATTTTAGTGCTAGAATACACCTTCAATGTAGATCTAATACATTCCAGAAATTCCTTACTTTTCTTAAAATGCTAAGTCTAGGTTTTGTAATTTGACTGAATAATAGGGATGACTTCTCGTAATTGGATTAGAATAATTTCTAGCTTTCCAGGGACACTGAATCAGCACCAGACTTTTCCAGTTGTTTTTTGGGGGGTTTCTATGACCATTTGCAATAACTGACAATGTGACTGATTTCTTTACATTCATAATTGTGTCCGCGCATATTTCCGACACAAAAACTAAGAAGGAATGTTTTAGCTAGCTGTCATTATTCATTATTTTTATTCCATACAAGAAGTTTATCTCTACCCATGTATTTACACGGTTTTGTGGTTTTTTTAATCGCTTATTATATTATCTCTACCCATGTATTTACACGGTTTTGTGGTTTTTTTAATCGCTTATTATATTATATCTTTTTAGTTGCATGCAGGCTGCTACAGACACAGCATGATTCATGAACAAACGCAGAGTAACTTTCTCTTGTTTAATAGTAAAATAAGAGCTAACGCTGATCGACTTTAGTTTAAAAATGCAGATGTGCATCTTTCTTCTCTTATAACTTGACTATTACTACTCGCGCAGATTTAAGATTTCTCATGGTAAAAGACATGATATTCGTAGTCAGTTTAACACAGATTTCGGAGAGATCTGTTGAGCCTTTTTTAAATTAACAATCATTTATTCATAAGTGTGTAACTAAAATAGGACAAATTGCGTACTCTACAAACACTTGTCTAGAACAAAAACTAAGGCTAAGGCACAGAAATTAACCATTCTAACGCAGAATAAATCTCAAGACATTGAGCTTTTAGTACATCTGCGTAATGGTTTGCTGTGTGGGATGGGGAAGACGTTATTATATCGTTATAAACATTGTCAAAAATGCGAGCTTCCTGACCGACACCAGCAAAGTCGCTTCAGGGCTCATTAACCCCGTGACCCCGAGCCGGGGAGCTCCGACGGGCTGCTGAGTCACGCGAACTAAAAGTAACAGAATCGGGCGAAAAGTGACGCCGTGTAATAAGCACGGACAACCAATGCCGCCTCTCACTGCCATGTAATTCAATGTAACAACAATTCGAGGAACTGTTTTCTCAGCTGGCTGCACATTCAGGGAAGCAGGCATTGGTCAAATTAATTTCACACCTCTGGCTCCTGGCTACCAATGAAAGTTTCTGTGCTGGAGCGACACTCGAGCATTTTTAATCACAGGCACTGGTGAGATAGATTCTAGATTATCTAGATTTACATTCTAGATCTAGAATCTACATATATATCTAGATTTTTTATTTAGAATCTAGAGAGGGCAAATTGGGAGGACTTCCGTAACGAGCGACCACTATGAGACAGAGCAGAATTGAGGGCTAGGGCTAGGGGTAGGGGTAGGGGTAGGGTTAGGGGTAGGGTTAGGGGTAGGGTTAGGGGTAGGGTTTGGGGTAGGGTCAGGGTTAGGCCTCTTCTTTATTGTGTTTGAATAGTTTGATGGGGTGGTCGCTCGTTAAGGAAGTCCTTCCGGCAAATCACTTCTAGATCTAGAATCTAGATCTAGAATCTAGAACTAGATGTAGATCTAGAATCTAGATCTATCTAGATCTAGAATCTAAATAGGAAGTGGCTATTCTCATCCGGGGTGAGAATAGAAAAACGATCTAGATCTACCTCTCACCCCGGGTGAGACTTGCCAGCGTAGGCTATTCTCACCCGGTTAGATTAATAAATGGCCGGCACTATTTCTCCGAACACTCTGAAATCACATCCTTTCCCGCAAATTTCGGATATTATATAGATCAATAATTGTAGTATAGGCCTACCAAAGATTGTTCGTATACAATATGGTTCAAGCGGTCCAAAAAATGTCCGCAGTAAATATTTATATAAAGAATGCTACAATTCCAAACAGTTTTTCGCTACAGATATGACGAGTTGCCTATGAAGGGTGCTGCTCTTAAAGGTAATGTGTTGTGTTCACTCATGTGCTGTCTAGATCTAGATCTAGATCTACGGAGGGTTATTGATAACGACACATAGAACTATTAGAACTGGCATCTGCGGTGGTCACTGCCACGACCAATAATGTACCGACACTGGCAGGCCCCTTAAGGTGTGTGATTCCATAATTTACATGTAATATCCTCTCCTTTAAAAAAAATAAAATTACTCACATTTAGGGTTAAAACAGCCAATCTTCTTCGGACAGGTGGACACACGCCCTTATTTGTTAATGTTTGTTGTTTATCATGGGCTGTTCTAATTTTGATTTCATTCTGTTGTGAAACCTTTCTTTTTCACGTTTTTACACTCATCTAAAAATCTCTAGACTAGATTCTAGCTCTTGAAAATTGAAATAAATATAGACCCAAAAATTTGCTCCTGTGTGTGTGTGTGTGTGCGCGTGTGTGAGTGTGTCTGTGTGTGATAGTAAGTGTGTAAGTGGAGAGTGAGTGTGTGTGTGTTTGTTTTTCGGGCTTTATTTCAGCCTTCATTCAGTAACAGTTCAAAGTATACAAAAATAGAAACACAGGATCCATTCACTCCAGGGCTCACGAGTCGTTCATCTTTTTCAGTTTCACTCATTCATTCAATTCCCGTGTTCTCTCCCGCGGCTCATCCCCGTCCGCATGGCTTTCACACCCCACCCCCTCCCTCCAGGCATACACAAAGAAAATCTCACTCATTCCCTTGCACCCTGCGAACCATGGACAATAATATAGGCAAAACACTGCCTAAGCTGCATTATTTTCGTTCGTGAGCTGTGGACCAGGCCAGGGGGGTCGGTGTCGTCGTCTTGTAGTTGCTGTCGGGTGTGGATACACTCGCACATTCTTCCTTTAACCCGCTCTTTCACTCACACTGTCTCTCCATCCACAGCTCAGCTCGTCATACGTTCAAAAGATGTCCATTGGTCATGTTTGTTTAGTTAGTGTGTGTATAAGTTTGTGTGTGTACATGTGCATGAGCATGATGGTGGTGGGTGTGTGGTGGGTTTTACTGAAGGTTGTCTGTAGGCGGGCTTTCCATGCGGTGTTCCTTCCCCCAGACCAGAGGCAGAATGAAAGTTGGCGCCGAACTCTCGCAATAAATAGGCAAAACATCACGAGACCGGAAGCCGGAAACCGTTCGGAGAAATAAAGATGGGCACTAGATCTAGATTCTATTTCTCCGAACTTCCGGAGAAATAGTCACTTCGTTAATAAATTCGTAAAAATAAAACAAACAATATAGTTCAATAGTAATGATACTATACTATAGTATAGTATAGTATAGATCTAAGTACCTCCACAAAGCAAACAGACACGCTGATGCGTACTCAAACTCTGCCTCAGCCTGGGCCAGATCTTACCAAATCCAGTCTTCAGTCTTCACTCCTTAATCCAGTCTTCAGTCTTCACTCCTCAGCTGTGACATGATAGACAGACATGTTTGTTTACTTGTGTGTGTGTGTAGGCCAACACAATGGCAGTGTATTCAGAGAGTATTGAAGACAAAAAATGAGAAGACTGTCGCCTGTCACATTTCGAATCAAAACAATAAAAATCTGATTCACCTTTCCGTTTGTTTAAGAAAATGAATTCGCCTTTATTCAAAAGTAATGGCAAAATTTATCTTCTGTCATCAAAATAATTTTTTAGTCAGCTCGATTTCTTAATTTAAAAAATATTTTTAATTCGCCAGCTATTTTGTTTTCTTTTGTTTTCTTTACATTATATCTCTTTCTGTTGATTGTTTCGTAAACTTCCTAAATGTTCCCGCGATCTGTTTTTAATAATAATGACCCATATCTCTGAGAGTTGATTAGCTGAAATCAAGTCACGTGGGCAATTTGACATCCATTTTATTTTGTGTCCCAAAATAAGCCATACGACAAACAAAAGAGCAAGTGAGAGCTCCAGAACAACCGTCTGACTGTGTCCAAATGGACGAAAAAAGATCATCAGGACGGTAATATGCTTTTCTTTTCTGTCTTTTATGCGCTTTCAAGCCTTTTGACAGTGTCTAAGCTGCTTTCTTTTTTCCTTTTCTTGTCTCAACGAGTTGAAGCGCGCGCCTCCTCCCCTCCCAACTCCTCCACCAGGTCCCTGCTGATTGCCGACGAAATCTGTCGGATTTTATGATGAACACATACAAATTTACCGAGAAATAATGACTATCTAGACTCGAGGTCAAAACCTAGCCTTCACTCCTAATAAAATGGGTCTGTTTGAAGCGACTATGCTGTCTTTAACTTGACTCTGTTGGTCACAGAACATTGGGCCTGATATGGTTATTGTGAGGGCTCGCTCTGCTAGATTAGAATCTTACCCCGCTGACTGGCCAGCTCTTTTTTAGCAGTCAGTCAAAGGCAAACTGAAAAAAAAATAGAATCTAACCGAAGGGGAGTCGATTTTCGACATATTTATAAATTATGCCCTAAAAAATCAAGAGTTGATGAATTTCGGAATTGTAACCCAATTTAAAATGTCGGAACAGAGTAGCCTATTCTTGACAATCTCGAAACCAAGACAAAATAAATGCTCCTCACTGTTCGTGCGAAGTAGCCTACTCATTCTGGACCTTCATGGGCGTGTAAAGTACAAATCGCAATAAAATGTTTAGACTTTTGGATATTGTTTCAAATTCAAGGCAACTTTCCAGGAGTAGGTTTGTATACACACTCACACATCTATTGTTTACCCTGGTCGTGCAGGGGCCGGGTTTATGTCGCCCGTTAAGTCTATTTCGGCACCTCACCTTCGTTCTGGCCCCTGGCTCAGCAAACGCGCGCCGAGCTTCATCTCCCGTTCGATTCAGGTCCCACGTCTGGTCTTTATTCATGGAGCTCAAGTGTGTGTTCGTCAGTCTGCTTGAGTTTGTGTTCGTTTATGGCCTTCTTCTAGAACCGCCTGCGTTGGTTCGTAACGGAGACATACACGACACCATGTTGGTAGCTCTAGATGTTCGTCCAATGAAATTATAGAGCAAATTGACCCACTTAGACATTAGGAGCTTGAAAGGTTAGTTAGGAAACAGGCCTTCCATATTTCTATATAAAATCTTTCAAATGAGCTTGATTTTGTATGAAATGATTGTACCTGATAAAAAATTAAGCTCGTTTGATAATTTTGTATATATACCAATGTGCTGGTAAAAAGAACATTTTGAGTTCAAAACATTCGGAAATTGACCTATATAATCCCCTTTCGAACCCCAGGTCATTCATACAACAAGAGCGTTTAAAGAGGTTATTCGAATGGGCGTAATTACTCGTAATGTCTTCAGCTTTTATGAGAGGGGTTTATTCATGGTGTTCGTTGTATTACACTTTTATTTTTATAAATAGAAAGCTATTTAAAAGATAAAGCATTATTTTCATCATCAATTAACATATTCCCACGATATTCAAGGCGAAAAGACACGTTTCCAGGCGCGCTCGCTGTACACCAACAGTACACACTGAGTGACCCCGGCGGCCTGTCCAGAATGTCAGACGTAATCGGTTGCTGATAAGATTCGCATCTCAGCACAGACGCAGGAAATTAGTTAATTTACTATTTACTGTCCAGGAGTGCAGTGGGCCCCACTAATAAACAGTGCTCAGTAATAACAGAATGAGAATTTCAGCTATAGCTGGCCTTTTATCCCTCATAATTTTTTTTAAAGTTATATTGTTAGAATTGGCATGCTCTGCAGTATAGTTACAGTATAATGTCAGTGGTCCAACCATTGACAAAACCCTATATCAGACAGGTGGGAAAGTAGGAAAAAAACAACAAATGGAGCAAAACAATTTCCATTGCGAATTGTACTACATGGAAAGTATGATCAAATTTTGTATAAACAGCATGGGCCAGGAACACAAGACAACAAGATATATATATAAAGAAAAAGGTAGCGTCAATTGCCACTGAGTGACACGGTGTCAAGTCTGAAAACAACACTATCTTTAGCATTATACATAATGTGCGTCTAATGGGTCAATTTGTTCTCAACTAATTTCCTTGGACGAGCATCTAGTCTAGAGCTACGGTACCAACTTGGCGTGTTTTCAATGAGACGTAGGCCTAGATCATCTAGATATCTAGGCTAGCCTTAGCCTACACTTTGGTGTAGAAAGGTGTAGAACCAACACAAGCAATTCTAGAAGTAGAAGGTCACAAACGCACAGAAACTCAAGCAGAAATTCACGTTATATCGGGGAGCATAAATCTGGGGACGAGGGTCAGGAAAAGACACACAAACACACACACACAGAGGGACAGAGAAGCGAACGCACAACACCGAGTACTCTAGCACAAAAAGCAAGATCTACCCACCAATGCAAAAAAGAGCTCCAATTTACTCGGTGGCAATTGACAAAAAGTCAATTTTTGTCAATTGCCAACGCGTCACTCGGTGGCAATTAACACTACCAAAGAAAAATTAGTTTGATTAATATGGAAAGCATGTAAAATTTCAACGTCTTACATTCCCTTACTTAAGCCTTGATGAATTGTACATGACAGCCTGCACTAAAATTAATTCTATCATTTTGGACAACACATCCCTTGTTGCCTCAATAAAAACATTTGTCAGAAGTTAAAGACCTATAGGCTTCTGATCGGTAACAAAAAAAGATACAGACGGTCATTTTTACCATCATCCATCAAAATTCTTCCATCTAAATCATCTTGTTATAAAAGTATTCATGTCCTTAGAGCATGCATCAGAATAACATTGACATGTATCTAGATTAAAATTATTATCCTGCGTGTGTGTACATGGTGAAACACCATATCAGTCATACAATATGCCAGGATCTGGACAATAAAGATGTATCTTATAATTATGTCATCTATAAATCTTATGACCCACATGCGACTTTTTAAATTGATTGTTTATTTTATGATGTGTTGCATGATACCATGTATGCAGAAGAGGGAGGAAGAAAAGCTGGATGCACTTTGATGTTAATTTAGATTTACCGAACAATAACTCAAGAGACTTGGCGTGGGGCTTGGTCTATCACCGCATTGGCACATATTGTGATTGCCTCCTTGTGGGATGGCGAGACTTGGTCTTGTAACAGGAACTTGACTCAGTGAAAAGTAGGCACTGGCACTTGATCTACAGCAGATCTTGACTATATTGTATTCCTTTTCCCAACTAATAGCTATTTTTTATCGAGGCCATTGTTTATTACATTGTTTAGTAAAGCGCATAGAGCCTGCTGTAAAGAATATGCACCGCCACTGAATAAATGCAATTATTATTTTATTTATTAGGCTACCTGTGTATCTCAAATGATGTCTAGTCAGCCTCCATGTGGTGATAAGATACTGGAAAATAAAGGAGAAATAACTGATACATTGATAGTGGATAAATCTAAGTAATAAAAATGAATCTATTAGTTAATCCGTTATAACTTTATTATTATAACTTGTTCACTTTTGTCTGACTGCATTAAAAATAAATTAGCTCATTGACGAATTTACCTTTGCCGAAGAAACTTTTTATGGCACTTCTACAGGCCAGCGACCAAACAAAAATTATTTTTTAAAATCTTGACCTCTGGTAATAAGTTTTTCTGTTTGGGCCCAATATTAGAAACCGCTCTTGGCTACAATTTATTGATCATTTTGAGAAAACGACACGACCCTGCCGCCATATTTTAGTGTAAGCTTGTCGATTTCATCCCTCGGCTGTAGCATATTGGCATCTCCACGTGAGTCTTAAAAAATACTCACCCTGTCTCTTGAATCGTGTTAAAGAGTGGTGTCGAGGAAATTGTGTCAACTTTTAAGTGTTTTTGGTGTATGCTGCAAATCCCGTATTACTTTTTTTAACCCTCTTTTAGGCTTACTTCAAAGAAAATGTGTCATGATCCTAGTTTGCGGTGACTTTTATGAATGGGCTTTTAAAATTATTCTGTTGGTCGCTTAAATTTTAGACCCGCATGCTAAGACCCAGAAAGATTAAACAGAGCGATTTCTTTCTATCCCTTTCAGACAAAAGTGAATGTGCTATAGTTACAGTTCAGTGTGTAAACTTGATCTTTGTTTATCATGTTCAGGAACATCATGTTGGTCCCAGTGGTCCTGTTATAGCCTGGGCCCACTGTATACGCCAAATAATTTTGCTTCAAATTTTTTTCTTCAGGTCCAAGAGACAAGCAAAAGTTTTAGAAGATGGTTTCTGGGACTGTAGTGTCTGCACATACAAAAATTCACCAGAGGCCTACAAATGTGAAATGTGTGATGTAAGGAAAGGGACTTCCACCAGGTATAGTTGTTTCTCTGACTCCCTGTTGTCTGCAGGCCTGCTATTGATGTTGGCTATGTCATGTTGTTGGGTGCCCAGGTGTCTACTCTTTCAATGCCCATCCAAATTAAAATTTTGTTATTTGGTAGACTGGAGCTGTGTTTCATATTTATACATAGTATATAAATGCCCTCTCAATTTCAAGAATCCTTTTCAAATTTTTCAAACGAGACCTTCTCATTTTTTTGAAAGGTGTGACAATGTAAAGTTGTGTTCGGAATAATGTAGCAATGCCCACCGAGCGCGTTTTGTTCTGCCGATTTTTGGCCCCCGCAGCGGGGGTGTTTCATGGGACGCACTAACGCGAAGGTTGTTGTCTTCAACTCGCTCTCACGCCGCTTCTCGTGAATGAATATGAATGAAACTTGGCAGCCAATCAGAAAAGAGGTCAATCTCATAGTATGCAGTTTGACAACATTGTACCCATCCTAGAAGCAGTCGAAAACGTTTGCGAAAGTGGTTGATGTGGTGCGCTTTGAAGATTTTTCGGAGCTGTGATTTGTCAAACTGACATACGTTGTACACCATTTTTCTTTATTCCCTTAAAATTTCAAGCTTCTGTGTTTAGCGGTTTTCGCGTAATCTTTAAAAATGTGGGAGTAACTAAGGGAAAAAGCGGCATTGCCATTTGCACGTGCTGGGAAATTTCCACTGAGTGACGTCATCATCCATCGGTCGCCTCGGGCGCTGCAAACGAGGCCCCGCTCATGTGAACCGGAAAGGGGGGGAAGGATACTTGAAAACTAAACGGGGGCCTTGATAACTTGCGTTTTTGTTGCATTTTAGTCACAATACAATAGATGTAGTCGTTTTTATTTGCTTGATTGCATGACAGAAGAATAGAAACAGAAAAGCAAACATCTTGAGAAGTGGTATGGCATTGTATTTGCGTTATGAAAGCCTATTCCCCCCTCTTGGGAAAGCACACACTTGGACTCGTCCTGTGTGCTCTGTTTGGAAAAGTGAGGCATTAAGATTGTTATTAAAGAGTATGGTGCTTATTTAGTCCAGTCTGGGTAGATAGTCCCGTTTATACATTGTTATCGTTCACACGTGAGTGCGCGCGCATGCGTGTGTGTGTGTGTGCGCGCGCGTGAGAGAGAGAGAGAGAGAGAAGGGGGGGGGGGTGTAAATATGTTACATTTACTGTATGAGTTGTAGCCTACACATGCGAAATATTCCCATGACTTGTAAACTATATTATCTGAATGCATCTTAATCTACCACACAATAGGACACTGTCCAACAATGGATATACACAGAGACGATCTTATTTTCTATAACAAAGTATGCATGCTTTTACTAGTACAGAACTGTATTTATTAGACTAATAAATCCTGCTCTCTACTTACATTTTTGTGACAAATTGATCCAGAGCATTGCTTGGCAAGGAGGAACCTTTTATGTTGCCAAGTTTCATTCAAATATCATGACTTTGGGAGAACATATGACTGATAATCTTTGTAAATCTGTAAAGAACGCCGCTTTTTTACCTGTTAATGTCTTTACAACTCAAAAAGTATGACAGATATTAAAAATCAGACTGCATGACTAGATTCTGCTTTAAAAAATGTACTAGACTGCCAAGTTTCATTTACATATATTCCAAGAAATAGGCGAGCTATGACAAATATTGTCTAAAAACGCACTGAAAACCGCCACATTTTTACCTATAAACGTCTTCATAACTCAAAAAATAGGATAGCTATGAAAAATCTGAAAGCAGGACTAGATTCTGCACTAGAAAATGTACTGGATTGCCAAGTTTCTTTTAAATACTCCGAGAAATGAGCGAGTTATGACGAATATTGTCTCAAAACTCACCAAAGAACGTCCCATATTTGGGGGTTTTTTCATTATATAAAAGTGTACCAGAAATTAATTGATTAAAAAATCTGTAACTTTTTTGTTTATTGATGGATTTCAAAAATTCAAAAAGTTCCATGCTCTGTGAAGATAAAGCTACAAAATGCACATATTTGCAAACACTTTCTGGCAAAGAAAGGTTTTTCGTGGTCATTGCTAAATAATGACTCAGGAAGGGAAAAAATGGTTGGGAAAACAGGCCTGACTTTGTCATATTTCGCATAAAAACTTCCATAATTATGTGAATCATTAAAAAAAGAAAATTGGCATTCAAGCGTACTTTTTAGCCTTGAACTGATTTCCAATGCAAAAATTAATGTAGGATTACTATTGCTGTTGTATCACAGGTAAGTAATTTCTGTGATGTTCTTAATTTTTCTACTCTACTTTTATTCTACCTTCCCAGTAAGTTACATGAACAGGGGAAAAATGTGTTGACATGGTGCTCCCTCACTGCAAAATTAATTGAAATGTTTGTCTGGCTCTTGCTGTTTCTCGACTTTTTCTTTCCCAACACCAGTCAAGCCTTATGTTTTATTAGCTTATGGTCTTTATGAAAAAATATGTTTGTCTAAAGTTATCAATTGAGTGAGCTGCCTTTGGATCATTTCATCATCTGTTTTTGTGTGCCTTTTCCAGGAAGCCGAGAATAAATCCTCAGCTGGTGGCCCTTCAAAAAGCACAGCAGTTTGCACCCCCTCCCAAAAAAGAAAAAACACACTCTTCCAAGCGAGATAAAAATGGAGACAGCAGTTCAGAATCCTCCAGGTAGCGAATTTATTCATGCTGACATAAAGTCGATAATACATGTATAATAATGACTTGATAGGCTCCAAGTGGAGACATGTCTTTTCCTTACAGCCATGTCCCTTAAGGTACTATGCTTTCTTTACTGAATTGAATCCCTATCCTGGTATGTCATCATCTGTATGAGCATTGTATGTTTAAAACTAGAGGGTGAAGGCAAGACCATTTTTATTTTTCTACTCCCAAACTGCTTCGTAGAAGAATGTCTTTTGACTTTACGATACCTGCAGACTACTAGGTGGGCAAGTCTGCCAAGAATTTTATACATTAAGTTTTGGCAGGATTTTAAAAAAGCAATCTATTATCATGGAGCCTTATTTATTTTGTCTGATAAGTGGTAAAATCGTTTTTCTATAATATAATCCAGTGAAGTCTTGTGTATTTACAGTTCCTAACTTCTAATGTCAGTAGTCAGTGAGTGAGAAATAAGAGATTTAGTCACTAACTATTTATGGATATTGACCGTCCCCAGTTAAACCGTTGTGCAGTGGAAAGATAAAAACCTGGTGTACCTTTTTTGTGAAAAGTGAAATGTTTTTCCCATTTCATATTTCATGTCATAATAATGATAACAGTCAAGAGAGCCTTCTAAAGAGCTATGGGTTCTGTTTTTGCTTGTTCAATCAAAGAGACGTTTCCTGGTTCTGGAAATCACCATTCTGTGCTAGGTTTTTCTGAGGTGAAGCTGAATTTTTACATGGCAATAAGGAAAGTTGGGGTTTCACGTTGTGTTTTGAAAGAAATATTTGTTTCTTTTCGCTTTCTGCCGTTATCAAAATGTGTTTTACTAGCATCCATATATATGTATTTTGAAGTTTGTTTGCCTGAAACATCAAATGTATTGTTTTTGTGTTGAGGCTTTTCTTCACCTTTTTTGTGATTTTCTCAAATTCTTCGGCCTCAAGCAGCCTTAACTAGTTTTTTTTCTTTAGTGAAGTAACGTGTTAACATGATGTTCAAGTGGGACGTGAAGATTACCTCTCCGTGTTTCTTTGTCCCCGTCCAGAGTGCCCCGGTTGAAGAATGTGGACAGAAGCAGGCCCAGCCATCTTTCCGTCACAGTAGGCAATGTGACAGTTGTGGTCACAGACTACCAGCCCAAACCAGACCCAAGGTCCTCAGACAGCCATATAAGCTCTGATGCCAGTGATACAAACTCTGTCGCAGCACCTGATCTAAATGATGATTCCTCACGAGATGCCGGTACATCATAGAAAATAGGACGTTTTACTTTGTTGGGTCTTTTTGTTTGTTTTTTGGGGTTTTTTACACTATTTCATAACTAAGGGTTGTCTGCCTGGAGAGCTGTACTCCAAGAGACAATGCTCATGATTTCCTTCTCTTGTGAAGCTTTCAAGAATTTTTATTTTCCTCACTTTCAATAGAGTGGATATCAGAGAAGGGTCTATGAGTTCATAATCAAATGAGAAGTGAGTCTAAATTGTGGGAAGGTGTTTGGATCATGACGAAATTCAAATGAACGTACAAAATCTTATGCTGTTATATCACGCTTGCTGAGATTCTTCACTTATTTGACACAGCTTTGTTTAGGAATGGACCATAGAGTTGTTTGCTTAACCCTTGTTTCACCGGAAGTAGCATGTGGTTGTTCAACTGGACTGCATCACTATAGCAATCGATGTCTGGGCCAAGGGAAGTGCTAAAAATTCAAAATAACTTGCGAACTCATTGGTCACTGTTTATAACTTTGACCTGCAATTTACTAAGTCATTTACCTTATGTGTCACGACGTGGTGGAATCAGGCTCTCGTCAATTTTTGGGCATGTAGAGTTATTGGTATCATATTAAAGCTTGTTCATTTGTCTTGCTTTGGATGAACAAAATGTCAGTTTATCTTCAATACAAATCGAGATATTTGCAAAGGAGGGAGGTGGGGTCACCTGGTTTCAGGAGTAAAATTAGTTTGAAAATGGCTGCCAAAGATGAGTTATTTCCTTAGCTTGAGAGTCCATGGACGCTGAAAATTTACCGTTTTTGTGCCTTTAATCAACTTTTTTCCAGTAAAATCCTAACAGAAATGTGTTTTTAACCCTTTCGCACTTAACAGACTTGGCTAGCTATGGCCCCCCCCCCATCCTTAAGACAAGTGCAATAACTCCACGAAAATTGAAGGGGTACCTTACTAAAAAAAATTGTATAAAATCACAAACACAACCCAAAATGATGAAAATAGTATTTTCTGAAAGGAAAATGAATGAGCTAAATTACTAGTACAAAATTATAAGTGGAATAGAAGAGTATGAAATGATATGAGAGGTCTTTCTGAGATGCGTGCCTTGGATTCCGAGTCTAGATCTAGATCTCGTATACATTTCTTCAACTCACGAAGTTTCTGCCACTGACAAAGAGGTAATCCACACAGAAGAAATACAACACATTCACAGAGATTGAAGCCTCTGGTGGAAACTTGAAAGCACCTAAAAGGCTTTTCTTTGGGTGTTTTTATTTTGTTTCTGCCGTACTCATATCGGGCAGCTTTGCGCCCATGCATCCTAGAGACATGATGGCGTGTTTACAAATAAAATCTCCTCCGACTTTTGTTCCCGCTCAAAAAGTGACTCTTTGAGCTAGCGAAACAAGAAAAACACCATAGTAAACCGGAACTCTTCCTCTATAAAGATAGCTAAGTGAAACTTCTGATGATAGTAAAAGTAGAAGCCTCCCGCGGCAATGAAACAAACACCCCCGTGGCAGGCGCTATAGGGATGAGCGGGGGTCACCGGCGCGAGCACATATTGGCGCTGTAAGTGCGAAACGGTTAATGTGCAAGAAATTTGAAATGTGTTGAGCCAAAAAACGGAAATTCGATAAAAATTCACAAACCTGCGCTTTCTTCACTTTGGTTATTTTTACGAGCGCCTGATTTCGCCATGCTGCCTCACATATAAAGGACACTGAAATTTTCCATTAAAGAAGGTCTGGGTGTATGCCTTCTAAATGGGGCCTGCGCACTTCCTGGTCAAAGTGAGTCGGCCATGTATATATATATATAGTATAGGGCTGTCAGGCTTCCAGGGTAGCCCGGCTCACGCCCCATATATATATAGGGACGTCGCACTTCCGGGATTGATTTGGTTGTCAGAACAGTTTTGATTATTTTGTCTTTGCTGTTGTTGAACCTCTATTAACTTAAGCCAGTTCATTTGACATGGTTCTGTCTCTTCTTTTTTTTCTTTTTTTTTTTAGCAGATATAAATAACTTTCTACACAACACTTATTTCTGTTGGTCATTTGATATGGTCATAGTGTAGAAAAATGTGTTTCTCACAATAAATAGTTTGATGGTATCTAGTGTCATGGTTAGATTCTGGGACTTTAAAATAAGGACATGAGTTTGATTCACGGGGAGGGGTATTTGATTTTAAAGCATATATTATATCTCCATTTTTTGCACTTATTGGCCCTGACCTGCAGGGTGGAAGCTGCCTAGCTCCTAAATGGTGTAAATCATGTTGATGGGGACTGGGGAAGTGTAACTCATTCACAACTGATCACGTGTGGTGGTTCCCAGTGTTATTTTTGTTGTTTGTTTTTTTAAGGAAAAAATTATTGTCTCCTGCAAGAGTTGTGAAAGCATGAAATTTCCTTAATTCCTCCAAAGTGCTTGAAGTTAAAACTTTGTTGATCTTAAGGTGCAAACTGTCTATTCCAAACGGTTGCGGATCTTTAATTTTAATAAGTCGCACACGATTTCTTGAGAATATGGTGTACCAGTTCACCAGTTATTCATTGGAAAGAAAAGAAACTTTCTCATGCAAGAGTTCTAGACTCAAAGCAGATATATTCTGAACTCCCTTATTTTCTGTGTGTGATAATATCCGGGGCGCTTGAGATTATGATAGATTGAATTTTAATATATACATTTCTTTTTGTACATTTGTGAATAGCTTTATGTGATAGTTCTGTTCAAAGTTTTTAGGTGTTCTTGGTTGACATTCTGTTGTTCCAGTGATATAAATGATGCTGAATATCTTTCTGCGTATGTGGTTCTTGTTGTTGCTGTTCTTGTTTTTCTCCTTTCTTTGTGTAAGGCAGTAGTTTTAATTAGCAATTTCCTTCTGGTGGTGTGTTGCTTCACTGTTGTTTGATATGCAAGGTATGAATTAACCATTCTCTTTGTAGCTGGTTTTGTAAGTTGTGTTGGGGAAGGGGGGGTATGTGTATGTTAAATCTTTGTGTACTGATGCAAAATGAGTGACCTAATTCTTTAACCATGGCTGGACAGTACCACAGTCCGATGGGAAGTTATTATGTGTATTATGGTACGGACCGAAGATTTAAAAAATTCGAGCTAACATGCCTTTGGTTTGACCCGGAAGTCAAAGATTTGTAATTTCTATATCTGGGTGACGCTTTTGTTTATCAGTTTGACTCAAAACAAGCTTTTTTAAGAACATAATATGTTGGCTTACATTTCCGCAAACACGAAAAAATTATGCAGAATGATGATTTTAATTTGCGTGGTTAAAGAGTTCAGTCAAAAAAATATTTTAAAATGAGAGCTGAATCTATGCTTGTCATTTGAAAGCTTGACAGATGGTTTGTGGATATTTTGGTGTGGGTTCTCTCCTTAGTTCAGTGTTACTGTTTTTTAAAGTGGCTATGCAGTATGCTTTTGTGTTTATATGATTTAGATTAATATCATCTAAATATATGGTGCTTTCAAACTGAAAAGTCAGAACTTGATAGTTTGCATGGGTCTGTTTGAACCTCCCTTAGGTCGTTAACAGGTGGGGAGCTGCCCATGTTTTGTTTTTCCTCCTCTATGGGGGATTGTACCTACAGTGTGCACAAAAAGCTTCTAAAGCAGTAAGCTTGTGATAGTTTCTACTACTGTTCATTCAGTGTTCTTCAGCTTTGTTCCCATTTGTGAAATGCGTCTGAGATGAGTTCTGCTTTGCAAAATTCATCAGTTTTGCTGTTGCCTAATTTAGACCCCAGGATCATGATCATGAACATCCCGAGTCGGAAACAGACAAAAAAGAGAGTGTTGAGATTTATGCTGTTATTACAACAGTAGAGCTTGTCAGTTGTAGGGGACAGGTCTGTTGTTTTCCATAGAACTGAGGGAATAAATAACGTATTTCTAAAATTAGAGAGGGAAGTTGAAAGTTCTGCCTCGCAATTTGAAACAAATTTTTTGTTTTCTGTTTTCACATCAAACAATGGCAGGGGGCTTGGTTTTAATAATCAAATCACATTCAGTGTTGATTTTCTGTTGTTTGATGTATGAGTTTTGAAAAGAGATTGTGCTGATATTAGAAGAGGCTAGTACTGGGTTTTTGGGGGGTTTTTACCCGTTACTTGTACTTCTAGTATTTCATGGTTTCAAATGATTCTTCCTTTTACTTTTACTTCATAGTACAATTACATTAGATTACCACACCACTCACAAAAGGCACTTTGCCTTCCAGGCAGCTTCATTTCATATTGATAAATATGTCTGATTACTATGAGGCAAAATGATTTATTGGTCTACTAGTCATGACCCTCAAATAGGATTCATTTTCTTCAAGTAATGAAAGTTTAAGTAAATGAAATGGTCATCATCCTGCATCTTTGAATAATTGCTCTCAGTTGCACTGTTTTAAGAAATGACACTGAACTAAATAGCTGATATAAATCGCCCTTGAAGTTGCTAGTAGCCTACTGTGGTTTTGACTTGTCTTTGAGCTTTGTTTAGTGTTACATTTGATGGGGGGAGGGGGGGGATGCATGATGGTGTCTCATATTTTTAGTATAAACTGCACAAACTTGTTTTCATCGTTTTGTTTCCAATATTTTGAAATCACCAGAGAGACTTGATGTTTATTCTCTACATCTTGTCCCTCGTGAATCTACTTCAGTGGGGCAGTTTTTAAATTCTACTCTATTAGAAGTGGTAACACAGGTCACTGTATGTGGTTCACATGGTATGAAATGTCTTTTGTCAAGTTAAAACCATTTTGGCGCATGGCAGTTGTGAGGGCCAGGGCATTGACAAACAATTAACCTTTCCCTTTTGGGGGGGTTGGTCAATCAGGCCATTTGACAAAAGTAGGGCCCTTCCTATAGTTATATTTAGTCGAGATGAAATGTTTTAATGCTTTGTTTCCTGCTTCATGCTCCTTGTAACTTGCAACACTAGTCGTCAATATGAGGGAGTTGTATGAAGTAGGATGTTGCTTTTGTCCTGCTTTTTTTTTTGGGGGGGGGGGGGGGGGGAGGGTTAACCCAGTAAGCCTAATTGTAGCCTGGATCATATGACTGCTCCTGGCGCAGGTCTCACTTTGTAGACTAGAATTCAAACACAAAAATGTTCGATCATTTATTTTTAAAAATTATTATGAATGCAGAATACGCCTGGTCATTACTTTCCTTATTATTAGAACTAGCAGTATTCAGTGGCTTTTTTAACACTGCATAGAAAATATTACTTCATGGATTATATTTTTGAGTTTATCATATTTACTCCAGGGGTTAGCTTGTATTTTTCTCTGACATTAATTTTTATCTGAGACTGGTGGGGGTAGAGGCAGGGCTAACATGACATTGTGGCACTTGTAGCTCTGAAACCCAACAGTGCTCCTAGTATTCTGAAACTTGCCTCCTTTAGAAAATGTATTTACTTATTTGAAAAATATTCTTTTGGTCACCTGTCTTTTTGTAATGGCCATCAGGTGTTGTGTGAGCCAGTGGATTGTGTTCCAATGCAACAAGTACGATATTAGTATTGCAAGTGGACTCAGTAGTACTCAGAAAATGTAGCATTGTGTCTGATGATTTGCCACTGCCACTACTAACATGTCCATTTTGTTTTACTAGTGGGTTTTTTTGTTACTGAGAATTAGTCTGGAGAGATAGATAGTCTTGAGTAGGTGCAAAGTGTGAACTGTATTTATGCATCTTCAATATATTACCTTCCAAATTATATGCCGTTCATCAGGTTGCAGTACTTGCAAAGTCTGAACTGCAAATGATTATTCATAATCACATGTAGGGCATAAGGGTTTCAGTTGCACATTATTTGCATTTCATTCATCAAACCAATCTGGTTTATATGTTGAAATGTACTGTAACTTACTCTGGAGAGTGCAGGTCTGTGTGTCGTCAGTGTGTTACTGTTTCAGTCCCTTACTTATACTATAGTGTAGAGGCTTTCACCACTGCATCAAAGTCTGTGCCAGTTCCCTCTCTCTATCTGTTGTCATTTTTTTGTCCCAGTGCAAAGTGTTTTATATATATAGCAAAATTGTACATAATTTTTTACAAACCGTAAATACAAAAAGAGAACGGTAGGCTACGTATTGTGTAATTTCATATGTGTGTAAGTGTATGTACATGTGAGTTTTGCTTCTGAAGCAATTGTGAAGTAGTGCTACATGACAGCTGAATGATGAGGGTTGAATGCTTGTGTTGTGCTTGATTAGAAGTGTATAACGTTATGGCTGTAACATTGGATTTGTGTGTGTTTTCACCTGAGACAGACGCAAAGGTGTGGAAGAAGAAATGTGAGTTATGTTATGCAAGGATTAGTTTGATTGTCTCAGTCTTCCTCTACATGGTGCGAATGACTCAAGTTAGGGCTGGAATGTTAGGTCAAGTCAGTTCCTCATATTACTCAGCCTCCTCCAGGCTGGCCTCAGTTGTTGTAGTTACGTCGATTCTCGCTCTGTGGCGAAGTATGTATGTATGGTTATAGTTTTATCAAATTTCCTCCTGCTCATGAGATAATTGCCAAGGTCGTTTTTGGTTCTGAAATAAAGAGCAGAGCCAGCTTGGTAATATAGTTCACTTGGACAAAAGAGTGATCCAAATGTTAAATCAGTTGAGTGTACCAAAATTCAAGCATTTCTCCGAGTCAATTGTTTGAAAGTAACAGTTTTTCTTCTCTTTCTCTCAAAATGACTGAAAATGACTTGATCAATTATCTTATGAGCGTGACAATTTACAGATGGGAGCTCCGCTGGAAGAATAAGCAGTCATGAAATACAAGCAACGTAGGGTCTGTGTCTTACTTGACTCAGTCACTTAGTCCCATGGGAGGGTTATGCTAATTTTGGCCTCACCTCAGTCGTCTTTTAATGTTGAAAGGGATGTTAAAACTTAACTTTTAGAGATGGTTTGGAGTATTTCATTATAAAATAAATGGTATTCTCTTGCAAAAAGGATAGAATATTTTACCGTTACTCTTGTAATGTGACTGTGCCTGTACTTCTAGCGGAGCCCTCAAGTGTTAACAGTGTCTTAACCGTTGTAGGGCCTACTGTATAGGAAAACGCTGCAGTCTTATTCAAGAAAACTCTGCAGTCTTATTCCAATTGCCTGGAGACTGAAATGAAAATAAGAGGGGAGTGCACCTTCTTCAAATATTTTTCATGTGTTATTATATATCTGTGGCAGGTTTCTAACAAATGGCATTGCAGATTGTCTCGAAACTTCTGATTTCTGGCTATGGTAATAGTATGAATGATTACGAAGTAAGCGGCATGTTTTCATGGAGTTCCTCTATACTTCATCTTCCTAAATTCAATATATTGGCTACTTGTGTGTAAAATATAGATTAGATCATTTTCTATCATATGTTATTCATCATCTGTAATCGCCAAGAAACCCAAATAGCATCTTTTTAACATTGTAGATATATCATGTTCATGCCTGTGGGGTTAAAGAAATTCAGTGGGTTTTTTGGTACTTGCGTAGATCTGATTATTTTGAATGCTTTTAATGATCTGAAGACCGTTTGTGTGTGAGTCAAGCAAGAAAGAGGTATAAATTGAAAGGAGTGCGTTGTCTTTTTTTTTTAAATAAAAAGCTATAAATAACTTGAATTTTATTCTTGCGTTTAGTCTTTGAATTTTATTTCAGAGTACATTGTCTCTTTTATAGTACATCTCAGAATGGTATTGAAAGAAGATAAATCTAGATCTGCAGATGGTTGTTGCTACTGGCAATGATTGGTTCTCCATCTTCACTACAACTACTAATACCATTAGTACTAGACCTATCCCATTTTTGTTTGCCCACCTCGCTTTGACTCCCTCTTCCACTCTCTTCTTTCTCTCTCTTTCTCTGTCTCTCTGCATCTGTTGAAGTACATGAGCTGCCAACTTTTCAAAACCAAAAAAAAACCCAGACTTGCGTATGTGACAGGTCAAGATGGTGGGCATTGGACAAGCAACCCCTCTCCAAATCCTTCACACACACATTTCAGCATACAAATATTATTCAAACTATACCAAGCAGACAAGCAACAATAATGTCATAAATGTTTTGTAAGGGTCTCTCCAATTGACTTGATAGGCATCATTCTCATTATTATTCGCAAGTCCTGTTTTGAAAATTTATGTTTGTTTTTTTTGTTCAGCATTAGCAAGGCCATGAGGAGCAATACTTGAAAACAGAATATTTAGCAACACAAAAACATACTTACATACTCAGATCCTCAAAAACGTATTAATTAAATACATACCGGTTTGTCATGGCCATGACTTAGACTATTTCCTTCAGAAATATAATAGACTGTCTTCAGCAGACACACTCTTTGCCGTTAAAAAGACAATCATCATGTATTGACATTTAAAATTCAGTGAGTTGTGGTTGGCAGATGCTCTGGTGTAGTTTGTTCCTTCTTTCCTTTCAAACATATACATGTATTATCATGAATCATATGGTGTGCTTTTCAACCATTATTGCCCCAGCACACCCAAAAACATTCAGAAATATTCTCAGCTTCCCAGTAAACGTTACAAGGGCAAGCTGTGGACTGCACACGTTTAAACTTGTCCCCGCAGAATTATGCAAATTTAGATGGCCAAATTATGCAAGACAAATGCAAAATTATGCAAGTTACCGTAACTGGCGTAACGCCATTCACAACATGTTTTGCGCTTTTTCATCAAGAATTTTCATGTTTTAGATCTATGTACCCCAAGAACAGATGCAAGCAAAGACTTCAGTATTAAACAGCCTATCGGAGTCTGTGGGATTGAGGATCCACCCCGGAAAGTAGGGACAGATGCACAACGAAAGGAGCAGGTCACAATAGAAGGAAAGGCCCTAGAAAACGTTGAATCCTTCTGCTATCTTAGGAGCATAATTGACAGAGAGGGAGGAACAGGTTCTGAAATAAGGTCCCGCATTGGAAAAACACAGGCTGCTTTCATATCTTTGGATAGGATTTGGAAGACCAGAGAGATCTCACTTCGAACAAAGCTGAGGATTTTCAATTCGAACGTGAAGTCGGTCCTGTTGTATGGATGTGAGGCATGGAACGCATCACAGACTTGTATAAAGAGGATCCAGGTTTTCTTGAACAGGTGTCTAAGAAAGTTACTGAGGATCAGATGGACAGACAGGGTCACCAATGTGGAAGTGTTAAGGAAAACAAGACAGATCCCAGTCAGAGATTAGGTAGGAAGAAGGTGGTGGCGATGGATTGGACATACTTTCAGTAAGTCAGGCAGCTGCATAACAAAGAAAGTTTTGGATTGGAACCCACAGGGCAAGAGATCAAGGGGAAGACCTCGTGGAACCTGAAGAAGAATCACAGAAATCGATGTACAGAAAAGTGGGAAGACATGGAATAACATCGAGAAGTTAGCCCAGGATAAAGAAAAGTGGAGGGTGTTTGTCCGTGGCCTATACCCTGGTGCAGGCTGAGAAAGGCAATGATGATGATGATCTATCTACAGAAGAACTGAAAACAGAACATATCAGTATCTGTAGTTTTTTTGTGTGTATATTTGGAAATATACACATCAGTCAAAAAAAGACAACTAAAAAATATAATCTCTAACTAACTTTCAGCTGTATAGAGTAAAGAAAAATTATTTTTACAAATTAAAAAAAAACATCATTTGGACCTCTGATGCTGGCACATCACCAAAACCAGGGACGCCTGTCAAACATGAAACATCAGCGGACATGAGAACAACTTTTGGTGGATTGAAAAATTGAACATGCTCAATGCTCAAGGAAAAAAAAATCCATAACAAGGGAAATAACCAACTTGTCACTTAAATGAGACTTATTACTCTGATTACTTCCCTTTAGTCACACAGCGCGGTGTTTACGATGCAGTTATTGTTTGTCATTGTTAGTGTTAGTGTTAGATTATTGGGTGACCTTATTTAGGCCACACTGTGGCCTAAATAAGCTAAACCCCCCTCCCTTACCTTATTTAGGCCACACTGAGGCCCAAATAAGCTAAACCCTCCTCCCTTATCTTATTTAGGCCACATCATATGGTAGGTTTCTTGAACTAACCATGGATTCGGAAGGTCGAGATTCTAATTCTACTGGTCTTTTTATTTAGTGCGGTGGATTATTTCAAAATAGAGGATGATACTAAATGATAAGTGGACCAAGGGTAAGAGTTGTGTGTGTGAGTATGTGTTTGTTTTGTGTGTAGTTGTGGTGAGAGAGAGAGAGATCTAGAGAGACAGAGTAAATGCAATAGTGTGTTTGTATGTGTGTAGGTGTGTAATGTGTGAATGTTATTGTGTACATGAGTGTCTATCTCAGTTGTACGGTCCAAATGTACATTATTTTGTTGAGAATTTTACATAGAACTCAACTACAAAGCACCTTTATACAAATTCACAGAAATATTCTTTTTGTGCTTATTGAGGTGCAGTACATGGTGATTTTACCTGCAAGGATTTAATTGGACAAAATGGGCAATATCTTTATAATGCTAATACTAATGGTCATATTTAGACAAATCCTATATCATTCTCTTTTTTTCTTAACAGCTCATGGTTATTAAAGAGTAAGCAAACTAGATCAAGGTAGTAATTTCGGATTCCTAATATTATGGGCATTCTTTAAAATTGTTAACTTTTTAGCGCTTTTCTCAACATAAAATGGATTGGGTTAAAAAACAACAACAACAATGACCTTATCTTTCTTTTTCAAGGTATTGTGCATACATCTGTGTGAAACTATTATATTCTATGCTTTCAAGTACATGAAAAAAGCTAATAAAGTCAAGTAAAATGTTCTTCAGAGACATAGATCTAGTAGTATGCCCACTGGAACATTTTATAAACCGTGAAAAGATGACCAGAAAATAACAAAATTATCTTATGATCTTCACTTGCACTTGCACTTGCATTTTTTGGGACAAATTATAGTCTACCTCATTATCTTTTTTTCCCCACATTTTTCTTCACTATTCATGACAACTGGCATGTTTTTCAGTTATTATCAAGGAAGTGGATAGGCGGACCACGGGGTCTATCTAGCCCCAAAAGGATAAGTGGACCCCGGGGTCTACCTAACAAAATGCTGTTTTAGGATGTGAACCCCGGAGTCAGCGGAGTGAAATAAGTAGATCTAGGTTTAACTAAGGATCGGTGGACCCCGGCGTCAACATAGTGAAATAAGTAGATCTCAGTCTATTTTATAATAGGACTGGCGGGGCCCGTGGTCAACGTAGTGAAATTATAAGTAGATCTAGGTTTAATAAGGATTGGTGGACCCCGGGTCAACGTAGTGAAATAAGTACACGTAGATCTAGGTTTAATTTTAAAGATTGGTGGACCCTAGAGTCAACGTAGTGAAATAGGTAGGTTTAAGGTGGACCCCAGGGTCTACCTAACGAAATACTAGTTAGGTTTTAGAATAGGTGGACCATGCAGTCACCGTAGTAAAATAAGTAGGTTTAATCACGGTGTCCCGGGGGTCCACCAATCCTTAATTAAACCTTCTTATTCTTCTACGGCTATGGTGTCTCCGGGGTCCACCAATCCTTTTAAAATTAAACCTACTTATTTCACTACGATGACCCCGGGGTCCAACGATCTTTAAAGAAACCTAGAGAATCTAATTATTTCACTACGGTGACCCCGGGGTCCACCTGTCCTAAAACCTAGTATTTTGCTAGATAGACCCCGAGCCCCGGGGTCCACCTTAAACCTGCTTATTTATCACTACGTTGACCCCGGGGTCCACCAATCCTTACTTAAACCAAACCTTATTTCACTACGGTGACTCCGGTATTCACACCCTAAAACCTAGTATTCCGCTATGCAGACCCCGGAGTCCACCTATCCTCTGCAGGACTATACTATTATCAATTTGCAATTTTCATTGATTAGCATATTTTAAAAAAAATTGAATCAGAGACTCACTGTCTAAAAAGTCCACTGTTAATGCTATTCTTATCAAAGAAAAGGCACAATTTGACTTTATGACATGTTATTAAAAAAAAAGAGTTTTAAAAATATCCAGAAAATAAAATAAAATGATTATATAGATCTAGATCTAAACGTATTTTATTATGTATATATATATACTTAAAAGTAAAAGACTGAGCAGAGGCTTACAATGCAAATTCTGTGCTCTACAAGTAGATTAGTAGAGAAAGTCTTAAGTTTGCGCAAAACAGATTTTAGAAAAAAAAGTTGGATCTAATTATTCTAATAATAGTAAAAGTGATTGTTATGGTGAGATTTGTTATTATTAACTCTAGAAATACAGATAGTTGTTGAATCTAAAATTAACTAGAACTGTACAATTCGTTTTATTTCAATTCCAAAGCCCAAAGGCATAGCAATGAGTTAGATCTAGATCTAGCAGTTGTAGGCTCTCTGGCTGCTTCTAGAATAGGCCTGCTACTACTGATTCTAGACAGGGAATCTAGATCTAGCTATCACCTGCACTATTAAAGTCAAATATATGGTAAAATAAAAACAAAACTGTGAATCCCTTTATCAGTCAGTACATCCCAATTGCCATAGTCGCACGTATTAATAGTTGAATAATTATACCGAAGCAACACGTTATCACAGTGTTCAGGGGAGAATGGGGTGCCCGGGTCGCTGAC